GCAAGTCACTTCTCTCTGGGCCTCAGTTTCCTCATCTGTTAAATGAGGAAGTTGGACTTGACGACTTGTGTGGGTCTCTCAGCCCTAGATCTAGGAGCCCATGATTCTTCTGAGGGGGAAGGATATGACTTGTGTACTAATAACAAGAGCTCATTCTGAGGCTTGCAAAGCTCTAGGCATGCATCCATGGTTTCATCTGATAAGCAAATGTATACAAAGTAATTCTGAGAGACTGAGAGAGGAGGCAGAGAGAGAGGAGGGAGAGAGAGACAGAGAGGGGGGAAGGAGGCAGAGAGAGAGGGGAGGGAGAAAGAAAGAGAGACAGAGAAAGGAGGCAGAGAGAGAGAGGAGGGAGAAAGAAAAAGAGAGAGAGGAGGGAGAGAGAGACAGAGAGGAAGCAGAGCGAGACAGAAAGAGACAGAGAGGAGGGAGAGAGAGAGAGAGAAAGAGACAGAGAGAAAGGAAGGAGAGAGAAAGAGAAACAGAGAGGAGGGAGAGAGAGAGAAAGAGAAACAGAGAGAAGAGGGAGGGAGAGAGGAGGGAGAAAGGGGGAGAGACAGAGACAGAGAGACAGAGAACATATGAGTACTTCACCTAGGGACCTAGGATGGGTAGGGTAAGGCAGGGCACAGTAGAGTCAGGGAGAGGATCAGGAAACGCTTCCTGAGCTGAGCTTTGAAGGAAACTGGTGATATTCTGAGAAGGTAGGGATTCCAGACCCGAGGGGCCATTTGTGCAAAGGCTGAGGCTAGAGATAGAATACCCTGCTTGCAGAATAGGCTGGGGAGGCAGTTTGTCTGGAATGAACTGTCCAAGATTTGGAGTGATTTTGTATAAAGCCTGAAAATGTGGGTGGGAGCCCATATTTTATCCTCCTTGAGCCTGTTGCCTCACAGTGGGCTTCTGGTTCCACCAATGTAAAATTAGGGGGCTGGACCCAGTGCTCTGATATACTATGTTCTAAGGTCCTTTCCAGCATTGACTTGAGTATTCTATGTTCTAAGGCAAGAGTTCCTAGTCCAAGGTCATGGCTTGTTTTTTAAAAATGCATTTGATAACCATATTTTAATATCATTGGTTTCCTTTGTCATCCTATGCATTTTATTTCATGCATTTAAAAACATGGTTCTGAAAAGAGGTCAATGTGCTTCATAGGTTGCAGAAGAAATCCATGACACAAAGGTTTAGAACCCCTGATCTAAGGATCTAGCTGTGACATTCCATTTCCTTTTTCTTTCTTTTAATTTTTTTTTTATTTTCAATTCTAAAATCTCTCCCTGTCTCCACTCTGGCACCACCCATTATAGGCAAGAAAGATAATATTCGTTATACGTATGAAATCATGCAAAACATACCTCCACATTAGCAATGTTCTGAAGAAAGAACAGTACAAATATGGTTTAGTCTACACTCTGGGGCTGTCAGTCCTTGACTTGGAGGTGGATAGCATTTTATATTATGAACCTTCTCAAGTTGTGGTGGGTCACTGTACTGATCAGAGTTACTAAGTCTTTCATGTGTGATTACCTTTACAAAGCCAAGGTCCCTTACTACATCTGGGGCTATCTCCAGTCATCCTGATCTCTATCTGGCCACTGGACCCAGGTGGTTCCAGAGAAGAAAGTGAAGCTGGTGACTTTGAAAGTCCTGTCTCCCTTCAATCCAATTCACTTGCAAGTCATGACATCACCTTCCTGATATCATGGTCCTCTTCAAGAATGAAGGACAAATAACAACAACCACCTCTGAACCAGGCACTGTGCTAGGCACTGGGGGACACAGAGACAGAAACGAAACAGTCCCTGAACTCAATAAGCTTCCGTGCTATTGAGAGAGAGAACAGAGACCTATAAAAGTCAATACAAAGTACATTCAAAATAAATACATTCATCAAGCAATTAATGAGCATTTATTAAGCACCTACTATGTGCCAGGCATTATACTAGGGGCTTATACAAAGACAACAATGAGACAGTCCCTGCCCTAGAGGACTCCATTCTGATAGGTAGAGAGAGCATGCCACCTCTTAAGGCAAGTTTTTCAAGATCTCTGAACCTGTTTCCTCTCTAAAATGAGAGGTTTGGGCTGGATGGCCTCTGAGGTCCCTTAGATGTTAGGTCACATAACTTATGTGGTCCTGTGGGGCTTCCACAACAGCGCAGAGGGGAGAGAAACAGGGCCTGCCCTAGGATAGCAGCTGCGGGAATGGAAAGGAAAATCTATTTTGAATAGACCGATGTGACCTCATCATTGTGGGTTTCCTACATCTCTCCAAACCACGCAGAAGATAACTCATCTTCGCCCGCTTGTTCCGTGGGTGAGATGCTCCTGCCCATGTCATCCCAGATGTCCTCCACAGGGGGCTGAAGAGACATTTCATGGAATAGTAAGAAGAGAGAACAACTAGAAATTAGTGAGTCAATGTGTACGGGTTTGTTGGGTGGAGGAGAGGAAGATGGGAGGAGGGGTGATGGGAGAGGAGAAGATGAAAATGAGTATGGATGCCGATCCTGGGCCACCAAGGAGGATGGTGGTGCCATTGAGAGCCACGGGGAAGAGTGTAAGGAAGTCTAGGAATAAGGAAACCAGTTACTCAATCAACAAGCTTTCCTTCAGCACCTCCTATATGCCAGGCACGCTGCCTGATATTGGAGAAAAAGGGGAAACAGTTCTAGCTCAGGGAGTTTACATTTTAAGAGGAGAGAACACATAATAGGGAAATATATAGAAAAATACAAAATAAGCAATAAATAATATACATGCAAAATGAATTTGAGGTAGTGGGTGGGTGGGGAGCAGAAATCAAGAGAAGCTTCTTATAATGGGGTCTTGAGCCTTGAAGGAAATCAGGGATTCTAAGAGGGGTAAGTGCATTCCAGGAATGGGGCACGGAGTTTGGGGATTGAGTGTCCTATGTGAGGAACAGAAAGTCAGGAAAGTCTGGTTTGTGCTTTTTTGTTTGTTTTGTTTTTTGCTGGGGGGACAGGAGAGATGAGTTGAATTTGCTCCTAGACACTGCAAGGAGATGTTGACTCTGAGGCCTGGGGGCAAAGGGATGGGGTATATTTTAGGGAAGGGGAGATTGCTCGAGGGTGTCCTGTGATGGAGTGTTAGGTTTGGAGTCAAGCTGGTCTGGTTTTAGATCGTGACTTTGCCACTTACTGCATATGACCTCAGGCAAGTCTTTCACTTTGTGTCCGAGTGCCCTCCTCTGTAAAACAAGACGGATGGGGTGGACCAGGTGAGGGCTCAGGGCTTTTCCAGCTCTCTCCCCATTTTCTCTCCGGACTAGACTGTGTGCTCCATGAAAGCAGAAGCTGGCTTGTTATTCGATTTCTATGCTCAAGGCTACCAAGGCACTTGGCAAACAGAAAGCACTTAATAAATGCTTTGAGATTCATCCATCCATTCTACGAGTGGGCCTAGACCAAGCTCCGCAGCTAATTTTTGCTCACAGCCTCAGGCTGCCCGCCATGCCCCACTCCCCAGTTCTGGCGTCTTACTCCCCCCAAAGCCTTACTTCCCTCCCCCCTCCCCCGATGAAGGAAGCGGGCAGGGGCTCTCTTCCTTGAGGATCCTAAAGGCAGAATCTCAGGACACAGAGTCGCTTCCAAACACAGTCCGCAGCTCCTGAGGGCAGAGTAGGGCAGTGGCTGTTCCCAGGGCACACAGCTCTTACGTGGAAGACTCTTAGATAGATTTCATCTAGCCTGACCCTTTTATTTCGCATAAATGGTTTGCCCTGCCCAACAAGGCATAGAGGCCAGAGCTGAAATGCTAGCCCAGGGCCCACGAACTCCCACCTCACGCTCTTCCCGCAACACCGCCCTAACCCTAGCACCCGGCCTGGCACATAGCAAGCGCCTAATTAATGTCTGTGGAATTGATTTGAACCTAAGTGGCGCAGATGGCAGACCCCTATCCAGCTCTTCCTCTCCACCGGCCCCCGGCCCCTAAGCAAAGGCAACGAGGGAAATTACTGCAAGCACAAAGCTTCAGAGCAGCAAAGGCGACCCCTGCCCGACTTTCTCCAGCCTCCTCCCCTCCCTCCCCCACCCCATCCTGGAGGCGGGGTTGGAGGGAGGGGGCCGGATCATCCCGAGAGAGCGCTTCCTCCTCCCTGGGCGGACCTGGGGCCGGGCTAGGAGGCTAGTTCGCGCGGGTCCCAACGGTTACCTAGGGCAGACCCTCCCCCAAGCCCACTCCTCTTTCACCGGCAGTCTCTCTACCCTCGTTCTTCCCCAGCCGAGCCCCCTACCCTGACCCTCCGCCCCCCCTTTCCCTTTTCCCCACACAAGGCGTTCCTTTGTATACCCTCCACTCGCGGAGAGTGTGTGTGGTGGGGGTGGGGGGTGGAGAGTAGAGAAGAAGAGAAGGGAAAGAAATGGGGAGGAGAGACAAGTGGGGAAGGGAGAAAGGGAAAGGGAACGTGCTCCTCTTCCCCTCTAGTTACCAGGGGCTGGGGTGAGGTGGGGGAGGCGCGGTAGAGGGGCTGCGCTGGATTGTAGCCGGAGGCAGGAGATACCTGCGCACACCCCCGGGCCGGGCCAGGGGGCGGGGCTGGGATGAAGGAACAGGGGGTGGAGAGGAGGAGAGAAGAGGCGGGTGAATGGGGTCGGCGGGAGTGAGCGCCTAGCTTGGAGACTGAGAACCGACTGGGAGAGGCGTGCCTCCCACCCCCCCACTCCCCGCCCCCGCGCCCGCTAGCCGGCTCCCCCCATCCTTCCCTCCCTCCCTCGCCGCGCACCCGCACCCGCACCCGCACTCGGACGCGCGCCAGGCGCTCCAGAGGAGGGCGGCCGGGAGCGGGGGCCCGTGCGGCCCCCAGCCCAGGCAGGCGGGGAAGAAAGGAGGAAGGCAGGGAAGGAGAGGAGGCGCCTGAGTCCCCGCTCCGGGGGCGTCCGGCTTGTGGATTGCGCCCCGGCGGCTCTGGGGGCAGCAGAGGAGGAGAAGGAGGAGGAAAACGGGAGGGGGTGGGAGGGAGACAGAGGAGAGAAGAGAGGAGGTGGGGGAGGGCAGAACAGGCGGGCTGAGCTCCAACGGGAAGCTCTCCCATCTATTTATGTCGGTGATCGCGGCCGGTGCCCCCGAGGCCCGTTCTCTCCATCCTTGGGCAGCCTCCCTCCATCCTGGGGCAGCCTCCCTCCTTCCCTCTCTCTTTTCTTTCCTCCGGGTCCTTGCTCCTGCCCTGGCCTCGGTTCCGTCCCCTCCCCACCTTGTCCGGGTCCCCAGCCAGGGCGGAGGGGTCGCTCCGTCCGAGGGTTGGTGTGGAAACCGTCGCCGCCGGGGTCTCCGGGAGGGGGCAGCCCCGAGATGCCAGGGGGCGGCCGCCGCCGCCGCCGGAGCCGGCCATGGTGGGGCGAGGAGAGGCTGCTGCGGCGCCGGGTCTCAGCATCTCCCCGCCTGGGGCCCGGGGCGACCAGGAGCCGCCGCCTCCGCCACGGCCGCCGCTGCAGCTGCTGAGAGCCGGTGGGCGATGGGTGAGTGTCAGGCGGCCGCGTCCCACCTTTCCAGCTCCCCCCCAGGGCGCACGGACGCCGCATCCTCAGCTCCTCTTTGGAGCTTTCTAGGCCTTCCAAACCCCACCTTCAGTCTCCCCTCTCCTCCACTTGAAACCCCCCCCAACCTCCCTCATCCTCCCTTCAAACCCTCGGACCCCGATCTCCCTTCTCCATCTCCTCTGGGCCTCCTAGGCCTTTCATCCCCCTCTCCCCCTTAAACCTCCCTCCAGGAAGCTCCCCACCTCTTCTATCTTCAGCCCTTTCTTTCTTACCTTCCTACACCAGGAAGCCCCCTACCGAGTCCTCACCCTCCTCAAGTCTGTCCCCCGTTGCCCTCCCTCACCTGGGCTGAGGGGTAGGGGTGCTTGGGTGTAGGGAGGGGGAACTGTGATTTCACTCTCAGGTGTTGGAGGGGGGGCCATGGGTTGAGGACTCATCCACTTCAAGTCAGACTGCATTTCCCATCCCCCATCAGCTCTTACAACAGCTGAGACACCCCCCATCTCTCCCTCCCTGTGGAGGGAATGGGGAGGGAAGCCTTCAGTCCCTTAGCAGAGATCACCTCCCCATGAGCCCCCCTCCTCAACAGCCTGGCTAGGCTGTCTGTGTGACTGGGGCCTCTGTGCAGACCCTGGGATTGAGAGGAGGAAAGCGCCTGGGGCTTGAAGTGGGGGATGGGGGAAAGATTTCTCTGCCCTTAGCCCTTCCCCATCTCCTCCCTCTGGCTCCCTCCCCCACCATAATGCTGGTTGATGCAGCAGGAAACCCATCTGCTTGGCACCCCCCCCCCCCCCGGCACTGGATGGGCATGAGTGCCAAGCCTGCAGCAGCCTGGGCGGGGGGAGATGGCTGTGGAGGGCCTCTGCTGAGTGGGAGGGTGGGGATGTAGAGGTAAAAGGAAAACCTGGCCCCTCTGAGTCCCACCTTATCTTCCCTACTAAAGCGGACCTGGCTTTCTTGGGTCTGCAGTCCTGTAGCTGCTTCTGGAGAATTGGGGTGGGGTGGTCTGAGGGAGTAAGTGACTCTGTGTGTGTGTGTGTGTGTGTGTGTGTGTGTGTGTGTGTGAGAGAGAGAGAGAGAGAGAGAGAGAGAGAGAGAGAGAGAGAGAGAGAGAGAGAGAGAGAGATGTCTGCATCTGCAGCTGACTCCTGTGAGATTAGTGATTATCACCATTCCCAAGGTTGGGCCTGGATCCCCCCTTTCCCCCATCCCCCTCTCCAATCCTTGTGTCGGTGGAGGAAGGGCCAGGAAGGGAAGGGAGAAGAGAATGGAGAATCCAGTCCTGGAGAGAGAGAGAAGCCCAAGGGACGTCTTCGGGAGGGCGCTTGGGAGGACGATCCAGGCCCCCAGCTTTCAACCTTTATGTAAGGATACAGAAACCCTTACAGCAGGAAGCCCAAAGCTTGTGACATCAGCCCAGAACAGCTAGGGGAAAGGAGGACAGTCAGCTGTGCCCGTAGTTGGCCTCCCTCCCTCTCCAGCTAAGAATGCCTGGGCACATCTGGCTTCAGAGCCAGAATTGTTCCCAGGAAGCCCCAGAGCCCCAGAGACAACGCATGAAAGCTGAGCTCTCTGATTTTTAGGTTCTGCACCCCTGAAAGCACCACCCCTCCCCCAAGCTTGAGAAGCTCGATGACAGTTTCCATTGGCATCAAGAACCATGTAGGGCTCCATGTTCCTCTCCCTCTATCCCACTCCAGCAGTCCTGCTCAGCCCCTGTTGAAATCAGATTCTGCCCCTCTGCCCATTCTCTGCTCCAGATGGGGCCACGTAGGAAATCCTCCCTAAAGGGGACTCACCCTTCTCTGATTTGGCCCTTCCCCAGCTCTAACAAAAGGCCCAAGCTGGCCATCCTGCCCCTCCACTCATAGACACCAGTGGGATCCCAGGATCTCCAAAAGGATCTGGGAGGTCTGCACAGAACTGGAAAGCCCTCTGCGACACCTGCTAAATGAAGGAGTTAAACTAGGTGCTCTATCTTGCCAATACTAGATCTTAGGGGGCTGTGTTCCCTGACACATCTGGTCCCCAGCCTGTGCTTGGAGACTGACAGTGATGGGGAACTCACTACCTTTCTAGACAGCCCATTCTATTTTTAAACTTGTTTTTATTAGGAAGTTTTTCTCCCAATATTGAGCTTAAAACTCTGCAACACCCTCCCTGTCTTCCCCTCATCATCATTGCTTCTAGTTCTGCCCTCTGGAGATTTAATAGAGAAAGAAAAGAGAATACGGATTGGGTAGTGGGGAGAAACTGAACCTTTGATTTCATTGATAGAGGAAACTCCCAGTTGAGGAAATTCCCTCCAGAATTGAGTTCACCATGTAGTCTTTCATGCTGCAATTTATAGGCTTAGAGTTTCCTAAAGCCCTGAGAGGTTGAGACACTTGGCCAGGATCACACAGCCAAGGTGTGTCAGGGCTTGAACCCGGGATCATAGTTGGAGAGCTGGAAGAGACCTTCGAGGCTCTGGTCCATCCTGTACAAGTGTTTAGTGTGAATTCAGAGAATCAGTTTGAGCTCCTGGGATTCTGTTGCTAAGCGTGATGACAAGAGGACAGGTGGTGGCCCCATGGATAGAGCTCTGGGCTGGAGTCTGGATGACCCGAGTCCTTATCTGGCCTCAGATACTTCCTAGCTGTGTGATCTTGGGCAAGTCACTTAACTTTCATCTGTCTCAGTTTCCTCATCTTTAAAATGGGGATAATAGCACCCATCTCATGGGGTTGTCATGAAGCTCAAATGAAATGATAATTGTAACAGTGCCTGGCACACATTAAACACGAGCTAAATTCTAGCTGCTATTATTATTATTATTAACTACCTCATGGTTAGAAGTTGCAAGTTGGTGTGTGGGGGCCAAGTGCCTGGACCCTTAGAAGTCAGAAAGACCTGGGTTTGTCCCAGGCTACTATGTTCTCACCAAAGAGCATTTATTCCTAATGGGAAAGGAGACAGACAGGGCTCTACAGGGTAATTAAAGCAACTCTCCCTGTGTGTTCAGGAAGTTTATTAATCCTCCAATTGGTTTGAGTCCCTGAACTGGGTTGGCCCTATCCTGGGTGCCAGAGAGGGAAGTAAAGAGGAAACACCCATTGACATTTCTACTGCAGAGCACTTTGCAAACTTCCCCCAGAAGTTTGATTTGAACCTGGGTTTGAATCTCATCTTTACTGCTTACCTGTATGACCTGGGGCAAGTACCTTCACCTCCTGGACCTCAGTTTCCTCTTCTTTGAAATGAGGGGATTGGGCTACATGGCCTCTTAAGAAGCCTTCCAGCTCTATTCAGCTGTGACTTGCCTTCTAAGGTCCAGGTCTAGACCTCAGGTCCTTTGGGCTCTGTGGACTGCCACAACAGTCCTGTGTGGCCAAAACACTCCCATCTGGCAAGGACTGCTGTCCCTGATTTGTTCTCAGGGATCTGAGGCTCAGAGAAGAGGGGCCTTGCCCAAGGCAGCCAGAGCTAGGGATTGCAGGGTGGGTATTTCTGCCCCCAGCTCTCATGTTCCAGTTGGTTCTGCCCTCCAGGAACTCAGGACCTCAATGGGGAACTTGGGACTTACACTCAATCTTCTCTTCCTCCTTGATGATGCCATTACAGATGGTGAGCGAGATTGTCAGTTCAGGGAAGGGAGTGAGCAGTGTGGGCTGGGGTTAGTCAGGAAGGCTTCCTGGAGGGGGAGGCAGAAAGAGGCAACATTTGAAGGTGGGAATGAGTGTGCTGTGATATGTTCTGGGGACAGTGAGAAAGGCAGGCTGACTAAAGGACTCAGAAGTTGTGATGAGAAATCTAGGTAGGAAAGAAACCCAGAAACCCTGCTAGGGTGGGACCAGACAGGCTGTGGAAACTGGGCAAAAGACTGTGAAACATGGGGAGCCACTGAGTGATCTAAAGCTGGTAAGTGATGAGATTAAAATCAATGTTTTAGGCTGGTGAAGGTGGGAAAGGAATAATAATAATAATTAGAATTTATATAGCATTTTAAGGATTACACAGTATCAACTCATTTGATCCTTACAACAACCCAGGGAAGGAAGTGTTATTATTAGCTCCATTTTACAAATGAGAAGACTGAGGCAGGCAGAGTTTAAATGACTTGCCCAGAGTCATATAGCTAGTAAGTGACTGAGGCTAGATTTGAACTCAGCTCTTCCTAAGCCCAGTCCCAGCAACATTAGGAAGATGTTGTATGAATCTAGGGATGAGGTGGAGGGTCTGCGATGGTGGCAGATTACAGTTCAATATGAGGAAGAAGAGGGGAACTAGGATGTTTTGCTGTGGAAGAAACAGTTGAAAGGAGATAATGAAAAGTCTTAGGGGAAGCATATGGCAGCTGTCAAGGGAGAGGAGGGCTTGCCCTCCTCTTGCTTGGCCCCAGAGAGAACTAGGGCCAAAGAGGGGAAGTGGTCAAGAGGCATCATGGGAGTGGACTTGGCTTTGTAGTCATGGACAAATCCTACACCTACACAGAGCCCCCATGGAATTTCCTCGTGGCATAAATACCATTCAGTCATAGCTCCCGAGCACAAGAAGACCTCCAAGAACATCTAGTCCAAACCCCCCATTTTGTAGATGAAGCCACTGAGGCCCAAGGAGGTAAAGTGACTTGGCCAGGGTCACACAGGTAGCTGGGAGGTAGTGAGTTCCCTGTTATTGAAGGTGGTCCTTTGGAGACTGGATAAGCACCCAGTGGGATGCTGGAGAGAGGAATACTGCTCAGTAGGACTCTTAGGGATCTTCCATCTCTGCATGGAAGGATGTTGACCAATGGAAGTGCATCTGGGGGATGGAGGTGATGGGAGTGAACACCAAAGGAGTCACTGGAGGAAGACAAAATCCAGCAGCCTGGAAAGAAGGCTGGAGTCAGGAAGGGCATGATAGCTGGAACTAAGGGCTGTCCTAAAGAAGAGAGAGTAACACGCTCCATATGACTTCAGAGGGAAAGTGAGATGAACGAGCGGGTGTTAGGGAGGTAG